ACGCCGCGAAATCCCGCTACATAACCATTCAAAAACGCGCCATACGCTTACTAGCGTGTGCTCGTCCACAGTCCCACACGTCACCACTTTTCCGTGACCTAAAGCTTCTCAAACTGTGTGACATAATCAAATACCAAATCCTACTCATCATGCATGACTACCTGTTTGAACGTCTCCCGCGACCACTTGCAAAGTTTACTTTAAATGAAAGTAATCAACCGGCCAGGAATGTCAAACATTTTAATGAATCCATCCCTGGGAGCTCAGGTGCCAGAACACCTAACTACCGTTTAACTAACTACCGCCAATTTGTACTATTTTATAGGGGGCCTTTGTTATGGAATAACCTCATAGCGTCTAAGATACCCAACATCAGAAATATTCCATTGTCGAAAGCGTCTTTCAAGAGATGTATCAAGATCTTGTTTTTTGACACTTACTGATTTATGAAAATAAACACTCATCATTTTGGTGATTGCAGAGACAGGGCATTTTCTCTTTCACCTTTAGCACCACCGCGTATTCGCTAATGTTAAAGCTTTTGTCATGATATAAGTACAACTATGGGGTGTGGCCTCGGGAAACTTGTGACCTTTACCACACCTCATGATGTCCCCAACTTTAAAGCAATCAAAAATGATCCGGAGTCTGATTTGTTTTGCCTTGTTTTGTTCGTACCTACTCAGTTTACATGCCTTGTGCGTATTTTTCGTGTTTAATATGAAAAGTTATGAATATCTTACTCTTATGTTATAGCCACTTGATTCACAGTTCCACACACCATACCTGCTTATTTTCCCAAGTTAAACTTGTCTAGTATTCTCCTAATGTCCATTCTATACCTGTTCCAGCACCACGTCTGCTGACCCTGAAGACGCTGATTGCGGCTGGCAGAATGCCGGCCATCTGGGGCGCTGGCTGGTGCCCGGGATGGTTGTTCGGGCACCTGCTGATGTCGTAGAGGCTGCTGCGGGCAACTACGAATGGGGCGGCCCCCCTCCCCCCTTCGGGCGACTGCCCGGGGTTGGAACAAGTCTGCTGACTTTGAAGACGCTGATGACGGCTGGCAGGAGAATGCCGGCTTCCTGGGGCGCTGGCTGACGCCCGGGATGGTTATTTGGGCAGCTGATGCATTTGAGGCTGTCGCGGGCGACTGCGGCAGCCCCCCCCCCCCCCCCGATGGCTGTTCGGGGCGGGAACAGTTCCGCCGACTTTGAAGATGCTGATGGCGCTGGCAGGAGAATGCTGGTCTCCTCCTGGGCCGTTGACTACTGGCGCCTGGGTCGATGATTCGGGCAATTGCTGACGTCGTTGAGGTTGCTGCAGGCGACTGCGGCGTCCCAGGTGCCCCCCCCCCCCCCCCGGTGGCTGTCCGGGGCGGGAACGGGTCTGCTGATTTTCTGATTTTGAAGGCGCTGATGGCGGCTGGCAGGAGAATGCCGGCCTCCGGAGGCACCGGCTGCTGACGCCTGGGCTGATTGCTCAGGCGGTTGCTGACGCCGTTGACGCTGCTAGGGACGGCTACGGCGGTCCAGACTGCGCCCCCTGGCGGCTGTCTGGGGCAGGAACATTGGTGATATGCGTTGATCATTCCGGATCTGCAATGCAGTATATCATGTTTTTGCTGTTGTTGTTTCTTTTCATATTTGTATAATTTAACTTCGCACCATGTATGCTGTTTAAAACCTTGATGGCGTTACCAATGCCTATCCTTAACACTAATATCTAATATTTTGTCCCCCTAACACTACTAACTGTCCACATTCCTTGTGCCATATTCAATGGTAACGCCATCGATTCGCACTCTTTCACTTGTTACATTTGTTCTGCTGAGTACGGTTCATCATTTTTGTTTTTTTTTTCGCACTTAATAATAAACCGCCGGTGGAATCCGGTTGAAGGAGGAGAAGTCGTCGTTGGTGGTGCGTCTGCCGACCTTTGAGGGTGATGTGCTACAGTGGCCCGAATTCTGGGAGCTGTTCAGGGTCGCCATCCACCTGAACCAAAGGTATGCAGCAGTACCTACAAAAGTTTGTTCTGCTGAAATCTCACCTGGGGAGTGTACCCAAACGGGTAATTGAGGGGATCCCTCTGTCTGATGTTGGGTATCAACTTGCAGTGGATGCGCTGACTTGTCGCTTCGATAGAGAGGGTGTGAGGAGGGAGCTACTCATGAAACAGCTGCTAGACTTGCCGTGCTGTAAGACCGCTGACGTGCCTGCTATGCACCGCTTCCTCGACCAGCTGACTGCTCGTGTCAGGGGCCTGGAGGCTCTTGGAGTGACTGCCAGCAGCTTCTCCAGTATCCTGCTGCCGGTTCTTCGAGAGAAGCTGCCGGACTCCTGGCGTCTGGAGTGGGCACGTCACCAGACTGCAGACTTCCGGGAGTTTCTCACCTTTCTCCAGCACGAGATGAGGGTGCGCGAGCAGGCTGCAGCAGCCCCAGTCCAGCCGACGGAACCACCCAGACCACCTGCTGGCTGGGGGGCGGTGAGTGGCCTGGCTGCCAACCGACAGCTGGGCTCCGCTCGTCCGCCAGGTCGCTATGCTCCCCGCTCTGCTGCCTGTGCTCGCGATGACTGGGTGTGTGTGGCATGTGGAGATGGTAGGCATGGGCTAGCGGCTTGCCATATGTATCGAGGCATGACTGTTGATGCCAGATGGGAGGCTGTGAAGGCTGCCAGTGTCTGTTTCCGCTGTCTGGGCCCCCACCTGGCCCGTGACTGTCGCAGTTCTAACTGCCTCACGTGTGGTGGACCGCACCATTCGAGCCTCCACAGGACCAGCGCCAACGATCTGCCGAGACGACCCCCTCAGCCTGGTCGGAACGAGAGCAGAGCACCTCCTGGCTTCTACGGACCACCGCCTGGTCGGAACAGCAGTCAACCGCCACCAGGGTTCCACGGACCACCTCAGCTGCCACCTGCAGAGCATCACAACCACTTCAACCAGCCGGTCTACTCAGCACCACTGCCTCCTGCTGCCGCCGGTCAGCATTCGCAGTCTCAAGGTCGGTATGCTCCTGTGTATCGCCAGGGTATGTCTACACAGATAGCGCCGGATGCTCAGAACCAACCCGTAACGCCAGATGCACAGAACCCACCCGTGGAGCCCGATGCCATCGCTTGCGCACCATATTCAGCTAGTGTGATGACTGCCGCGTCTGCCCCTGTGCCTTCTGGTTCGACTAACGCTTTGCCATGTGACTCATTGAGCTCTCCACCTGACCCCGCTAACGTCAGCGACGCGGCGTGCTACACCCAGACAGCGCTGGTGGAGGCGGCCGGGCCGCAGGGGACCTGCAGACTGCGCATCCTGCTCGACGGCGGCTCCGACTCCTCGTACATCCGGACGTCGGCGGCAGATGCACTCGGCCTGGCCTTGGTGGGGAGCGGAGTATTCGCCTGCATGGGCTTTCAAGAGCGCGGTGAGGAGCCCAGGACGTATGAAAAGGTGAGACTGGCCCTGAGGAGCCGGCACGGTGGGGAGGACCATGTGTTCGAGTTGTGGAAGACTGACAGGCTCTGTTCGCAACCCACGCCTGCCCGACCGCCTACCGTAGTGTTTGAGCCCCACGTTCTGCTTGCTGATGACTTCCAGGGCGGGCCAGTGGATGTCTTGATTGGGGTAGACCAGATCTACAAGATTGTGTTGCACGACCAAATCTGTCTGTCTGACCGTCTGCGAGCTGTGGATACCGTGTTCGGTTACGTGATCCACGGCAGGGAGGAGCTCCCTGTCACGTCCACCTCGGTGAGGTATGCGCTACGCTGCAGCAGCCGCCTGCCAGAGGAGGAAGCAGAGCAGCTCTGGCGTCTGGAGGCGATCGGCATCTCCGAAGATGAGGCGAGACCACAGGCCTACCCGACCTGGAGCCTCGAGGATCAGAGGTACGAGATGAGACTGCTGTGGACCTCCGGTGAACGCCCCGTCACTAACCTGTATTCAGCAGCGGCGCGGACCAAGCGGATGGAAGCGCGGCTGACCTGCCCAGAGCGGAAAGAGTACGCCCGCCACCTGGCGGAACTGCAGAGAAACTGTGTCATCGAGGAGTCTCCGGCAGGCGACATAGACGGCTTCTACCTGCCGCACCGGGGCATCTGGCGGAATGGAAAACTGCGAGTAGTTTTTGACGGCTCAGCGAGAGACCCAACCGGCCGCAGTCTCAACGACCTCCTGGAGACTGGCGGAAACCTGCTGCGCCGAGTTCCTGCGGTACTGCTCAACTTTCGACGGGGCGCGGTGGCAGCTCAGACGGACATCAGGTCGGCCTTCCACATGGTGTCCATCTCCGAACGGGACAGGAAGTACCTCCAGTTCCTGTGGGCTGACCAGCGTCTGAGGTTCAGACGTGTCCCCTTCGGCCTCAGCTGCTCCCCGTACCTTCTGCTGCAGACCCTGTCCAGTCATATCTGTCGGTATCGTTCGACTGACCCGTCCCTCTGCAAGATGCTGGAGGAGGGACTGTACATGGATGATATATGCCTATCATTCCCCAACAGGACTGAAGCGGAGAGAGGCATGGAGAGGACGGTGCAGATCTTCGGCGACGCTCGAATGGAACTGCACAAGCTGCGCATCACCGGTGACGACGCTGAGGACTCGAGCATTCTGGGACTGCGCTGGAGCACCAGGACGGACCGTCTGGCGGTGTGCCTACCCACCCTGTCGGCCATCAGGACCAAGCGTGAGCTACTGTCCACCCTGGGTAAGCTGTTCGACCCTCTCGGTGTGCTGTCGCCCTGGCTTGTCGTTGGCAGGGCAGTCTTTCAGCGGACCTGGAAGGAGCAGCCGTCCGCGGGATGGGATGATGATCTGTCCCCTAACACGCTGGATGAGCTATCCACCTGGTGCAGAGATGCGTCTGACCGTGATGTGTGGTTCCCCCGCACTCTGTTAATCACCGATGACGTCACATATCACGTGTTCTGTGATGCTTCGAAGCGTGCTTACTGCTGCGTCATCTACGCTGTGATCGATGGAGACTCTCGGCTAGTGATGGCGAAGTCTCGTTTGGCGCCCGTGACTCCTGCCCTCAGTGTGCCGAGACTGGAGCTGATGGCAGCCCTGATCGGCTGCCGCCTGATGGAGTTTGTTCGCAGTTCTCTGAGCCTGGACTCACCGCGAGTGGTCTACTGGACTGATGCCAAGGATGTCCTCTACTGGATCAGCAGCAAGAGGGCGCTCAAGCTGTTCGTCCACAACCGAGTGAAGGCCATCACCGAGATGTCGAGCCCCGAGCAGTGGCGTCATGTCTGTGGGGAGGACAACCCAGCTGACATCGGAACCAGAGGTATGTCCCTCGCTGTCTTGGAAAAGTGTGATGTGTGGTGGAAGGGACCCGCGTTTCTGAGGGACTCTTCAAGCCCTGAGCTGCCGCTGTCGGCCGCGCCTGGTGAGCGGCAGCTATCACCAGAGGCCGCTGTGGAAAGCAAGAAGGAGAGACCTGTAGTCAGAGAGAGTCTGGTGACCCAGAGGAGTGAGCCGATGCCGTTCGACCTCACCGAGTGTTCCAGTCTCGCACAAGCGGTGAACCGACTGACCTGGATACGTCGTTTTGTGTCCAACAGCCGCGCGCTGAAGGAGGACAGAGTGACCGGGCCGCTGAATCCAGAGGAGAGGCGGAGTAGCCTTCTCTTTCTGATCAGAGTGTCCCAGATATGTGTCTACCCCGATGAACTGAAGGCAGTACGTTCGGGTGAGCTGCTGCCTAGCGGGTCACCACTGACTAAACTCCGCCCGCAGCTCAGTGAGGAGGGAATCTTGCTGGCGACGCTGCGGACCGGCGAACGACCAGTCCCGATCCTACCAGAAGAGGCGCGCATCACGACGCTGATCGTAGAAGAGGCTCACCGCCGGTGCTTCCACCAGGGGACTCGCGTGACACTGGCCCTGCTCACCGCAGAGTACGCGGTAAGGCGGCGGACCGTTCGCCGAGCTGTGGACTCATGTCGCCGATGCCGTCGCTACCGATGTCTTCCCTACAGGTCGCCAGAGGGGGTGCTGCCGAGTTTTCGCGTGCAGCCGTCCCGACCGTTCGCCAAGGTGGGCGTCGACTATTTCGGGCCACTGTACGTGGACGGCAGCGCTAAAAAGGTATGGGTACTTCTCATCACCTGCGCCACCTCCCGTGCTGTCCACCTCGAGCTAGTTCACTCCCAGTCGACAGCTGACCTCGTCCTGGCCCTGAGGCGGTTCTTTGCGCTTCGCGGGACACCTGCGCTCATCTACAGCGATAACGCGAGGACCTTTCGAGCGCTGCTGGGTCAGCTCCCAAGGTGTGTCACCTGGCGGTTCATCCCTGAATCGGCCCCATGGTGGGGAGGCTTCTGGGAGCGCATGGTGGGTGTAACGAAGGCGGCTCTGCGTGCATCGTTGCACCTCTGTCATCTCTCCTTTGAACAGCTGTCTGTCGTTCTTTATGAGTTGGCGTTTTTTGTCAACCTGCGCCCCCTCACCCAGGGTGATGGGGAGGACCTGCTCACGCCAGCTCATCTGCTGTTCGGTGTGACCACAATCGATGGTGTTGTGTGCCCGACTCTGACGGAGTCCCCACTCAACAGAGCCTGGAGGCACCGCCGGAGGGTGTCTGACCAGCTGACTCGGCGGTGGAACGAGTATCAGCGCGCGCTCCGCTGCTGGCACCGGTCGCCGCGGGGGCAGCCGAACCGGACACCGGAGGTGGGAGACGTCGTGCTCGTCCACAACGAGGGGCCGCGCGGACGGTGGCCTCTCGCACGCGTGACCGAGCTCCTGGTCGGACCGGACGGCCAGACCCGCGCCGCGATCATTCAACTGCGCGGTCGCCGTACGCGCCGACCTCTCAGCCGGCTGTTTCGGCTGGAAGCGGCCCGTGAGGCGCCGTGAACCGGACCCGGATCGGTGGTTAGTCTGGTGACACGGTTGCGACTGTCCCGGTGCGCGCGCGATGCGTTGTTGTGATTTGTTAAGTTGCTGTACCTGTTTTCTGTTCTTTCGAAATCTCGCCCCGATTTCGAGTGGGGAGTATGTGCGAGTTTCCCCCTAAATACTTTCATCGCCGAAAATTACCCCTAAGTGATTGCTGCCATTTTTATTTGGTAACCTGAGTTGAGCCCAGTGGCGCCACACGCAACAATACAGAGTCACCTGTGAGACGCCGTGCTGTTTGTGCGTACCGATGCTACCAGAGGGATACCGACCGAAGATTCAACCGATTTAACTACATTAACGTAACGTAACTTTCAACAGAGGTCGTAAAGTTACTATCGATAAACTTTTCAAATAAACATTGAAAAAAAAAACACTTAACCTACCTCCAAATATTGGTAAGAAACCACAACACAAGTTGCAAGATTGGTGCTTTCGAGATTGCCGATAATATAAATATGGACCTGGGATTTTATTTTCATGTTGCGAGCATTCAATGAAACCAGGTTTTCACTTTTCAGTTCGGTATCGGTTTCACAGCTCCGCCGTTTGGCAGTGTTCGTGCCGCGATTTCCGAGCGGTTCGAGCCGTTCCCGGCGGCACGTTAGAACCCTTCAGTCCCGGCCCGGGGACGGCTGGCCGGACCGACGCCTTTGTCCGGCGGCGGCACCCATCAAATATGGAGCTGGTCCGCAGCAACAGGCGCTGCTGACTGCTCCGGAACGCACACTGGGGATGGATGGGAGACGGCCGACAGCTCCGCGCCGCCGGCCGCCGCTCCAAACGGCCAGCGGAAATAACTCACTTTCAGAGACGGCACAAATATAGACACTGAAGGTCCCGGCGCCAGAAAGGTGGCCTTTCTGCTCCCGAAAGAATGGACGGAGAAACAAAGCAGCACGGCATAGTCACATGCAATCTTGTGCAGCTGGTATTTATTACAGCATTCGTGCCTTTGATTGTTTGCCACACACTGCAGACCACAGTTTTATCAGCAGCTCCCTAGGTAGAGAAGGGGCTAAGCTCCTATTTTTTTTTTATCAGCGCTGTATCTACAAACCAGTGCGCCGCAGGCGTGCACAACTTTCTACAGGTCTCCCACAGACATCAGAGCTAATGCTGAAAGAAGTTTAAATGACTTAAGGAAGCTAATAATGTAAGCAGCTTGAGGTTTTGAGCATGCTGTAATAACTTCTCATTTTTTCTTCAAAACTTAAATCCGATATTAATTTGAAAGTTACATCAAACGTGTTAGTCTTCGGACAGGTCGAAAAACTTGCAAGTTGCAGTCAGCGCAGATTCAAAAAGAAGTCATCGACTTTAAACGAGTTTTATCTATACCTTCCTCTAAATGCAGGTGCATTGTGCATTTGTAGGTGAGCCGTAATGGAGCCAGTCAGCTCAGGTCACCCGGATCACAGATCCATCGTGTCGCAGCTGACTGAAGTCTGAACCAACGACTACCTCCACTGGGTCGCTCCATTGGTTACCCTTCCCCCTCCCCCCACCACAACTAGCCGAGCCAAGGACCAACTCTGCTTTGAGCCCACAAAGCTGGCCGACTGACCATGACCGCCTCAGTCGGCAGACCGAGGAGGCAGCTGTCTGACAGATTGCCGGTCTGTGTAATGTGTTATATCAACCAGCGGGGCTGCAGTCTGAACAGCCACGCTGGTCTGTCATGTCAGCTGTATGACAGACCGGACCTGTGTGCCGGCGTTACACCAGCCAGCGCGGCCTTGTCTGCGCCACTAACAGTGTCAGATGCGCCACAATCGGCTCACCGGCGCCACAGCTGACACCATCGGCCACCCGTTGTCACACACAGACGGAGATACTGTACACAGGACCGTGAGAGGGTAGCAAACAGAGGCCGGTCCGGCACGGCGGGGCTGGCGACATTCGGCAGCGGCACGGAGGCTGAAGGACCGGGGTCGTGTGTACCTTACGCCATGGGCTTACAAAGATAGTAAAGGATTGGATTTCTAAAATTCTATCGATCGAGGGCTTTTCGAGCAGAGCACTTTACGCTGTAGGTCATTGGTTCCAACATTGTACGTGTGAAACATGTCATAACAAACCCGATGAATCTTCAATCCTAGATAAGCCGTCAAATAATGAAATGAACCAAGTGGGTTCAATATTGTTACGATCGTGATGCGACAAAGCATGGATCTCAACTATGTAAAGATGATACCTAACATGTAAAGAAATAAAATATAAATAATTATTTGCATAACAAACGGGTGGTTTAGTCCGCTTCCATTGAGATAGTTCTATCTGTTCCACTGCCGATTCAGCCCACTGAACTCTTCGCTGTTGCCTATCGAAGGCTGCCAAACAAACGGCGTTTTGATCCCCCCGAAGTTGGATCGGCCGGCCATCTATCGTGTGCTGGAGCCCGCTGCTGCCAGTCGAGTGTCCGTAACGGGCCAACAATGATGGATCCCGCCCGGTCGGCCCAGAGTGGGTGGTGTGGGATGAATGCCGAACTAGCAGCGGCTTCCGAGTGCCAGTGCCGCGATATATGTACTCCTCCGCTCTCACCGTTAGAACACAGGGCACAGCTCGAGATTAATGGTTAATATGGTAGGACGAGCCTCTCTAACTGCAGCCTGGTTTATTGATTTAAGAGACTAATTCCGACCCAACTCGAACGAGGAAAAACAACGGAAATCTTGTTGCGACTTGTGTTCTTCCTCGCCGCCCTGAAGTTCAGCCTTTCATCAGAGTGAATCTGCCCAGCCTTTCCTTTCAGAAGAGATAGCTTCCCGCCTCTTCGCAGGCGGGAAGCTATCTCTTCTGCACCCATTCTCATTCTCATCTACTAAAACTAAAAGTATTAAAATAAATCACAGTTCACCATGACCTTTTCCCATCTGCTTTATCTTTCCAACAACTCGGATAGTGGCACTTACAGCGTTGTGTTTCAGTGAACTTGTCCGACTTTTTCTTGCGTTTCCACTTCCACGGTTTGAAGAGCCGTCCGAGTGAAGAGAGCTTGTGCCTCCGTTCGACAGGGGGTGTCCGCGATCCGGAGCCGAGCCCGTCGCGACCCATCGTGCCGTTACTCTGCTTCCGAGCTGTGGGCACACGGGGGAGGGGGTCAGGTCAGCCGTCAGCGGTCAGGTCAACAAGGTCAACAGTCATCAAGGTCAGATCAGGTCAGGGCAGTGGAGGTCAGCCAGGTATGACCAGTTCAGTTTCGGCTAGAATGATGTCAAAAAAGGATTCTTATTTGTTTCGGTCTCCGGTCTCCGATAAAGGAACTCACTCAAACACAGGGAATATGAGCGCAGTCACTGAAGAGCACCTCAATGGGGCCACAGAGACCTGTGGGAACAAAGGCTCGTGGACACCGGACAGAGACCAGCGGGAACGGTAAACCGCGGACAGAGACGTACGGCCGGAGAAGGTGAGGGTGACCGGTCGGACCCTCCGAGACTCCAGCCGGAGTGGAACACCAAACACCGGGGACGCCCACCGCCTGCTGAGTTCGAGGACGGTGACAAGTACGGATGGCCGCCGCTCACGGGACTACAGAACAAACACGGGGCGCGCAGCGTGCAAACATCCCGCCCACAGAAAAGTAGCGTGCTTCAAAGGAATCGTGATGTCACTCCACGGGCGGGACATGGCGGACGGTGTTGCTGGTCAACGGTGTTTTGTTCCGAGAGAATGGGGCACGAGATAAGAGGAACTTTCGCTTCTTCCATCACCAAGTTTATAATTCGGTTTAATTGAGGGATTAATAACAGTTCGGAAAGCCCTCTGTGCGTTGAAAAAATGAACCAAATGAAAATTCAGGATATCGACATCCAATGGTCAATATCCAGTATCCGCCCTTGTTGAGCCGAATCCGTGGACAGCACCATTAATACCAGTGGCGATTGGACTGACCCAGCTGAATGACAAGTCGTCCCACCACTACAGGCGTTACGTGGGCCGTACCGTCCGGCACCCCCAGTCCACACACCTCTGGGCGGCGGCACCCCGACAGCACTGCAAGGTGACGAGTGCCGCCGTCACGTGACCGCACCGGCACGCGATCCCATCGCACAGATAGACACGAACGTAGGACGACAATAGAGCCTGGCGCCTTTGTTTGGTGGACTCCCGAAAATATAATATGTGCGGAAACAGTTCCTGGTGTGCAGAAATGTGGCTGAAGAGGATGTGGATTGCATCATGAGCTCACCAGTTCTGGAAATGTGCCCCGCTGCCAAAATAATAGCGGGTTAAACCACTACGTCGCACACACGACATATGCCACACGTCATTCCTGTCACGTTTACACAGCCCTTTACAAGTGACGACGCTTCAAGGAAAATCACACTTATCTGCATAAATTCCGGGCATGCATGTTCATGTTCCAGCGCAACGCAGCGCTAGATAGAACCCAGAACACGTGTGAAAAGTCGGCACACCTTGGCGGTGCCAGATATACACCAAAAGCGTGCCGCACGACTGAAGCAGGTTCAGCATGACGATACAATACGAAAAAGCACATCCTCTTCAACAGCATGCATCCATGCAATGCTACAAAAAAAGAACGTTCGCGAATCTACGTCCTCATCTCGCCACGATATATGAATGGTTTGCGAGATTGGCGGCACGATGCATATGCCACCACTCGCCGTAATGAAACCAGACACACGGCGGGGCCCACATGCTCAGCTATGAATGAATCTCAGCCGTCCTTCCCCGCCGCGTCTCAGGCAATCTACAGATGCATTCTCGAAACCCTTCGCCAACGTTCCGGAACGCCAGCTATATATAACTCCAACGTATCGCCCTTAGCGAATTACGACAAAACTGTCTGCTCCATCACACAATCCACAGTACGGGTATCAGCACTTCAATCACCACAACAGACAGGCCGCCGGCAGCTGCGACAAGTTTATATCACCATTGGCCCTCGATAAACATCACACAAACCGTTACATCCCGCTCAAGCTAATAAACCGGCACTATACTTTACAGCGTCCACAACATTAGAGCCGAGGATGTCATCCCCAGCCGTTCCGACAAATTTCGGCAGCGCTTATCGAGACAAATCACCTCCTCCGCGCCAGCTCCCGCTGTTGAGGCATCTTTGCACCAATCGCCGTGAGCCCGCAGCAGAATGGACGGCGGGCCGCAGCACGGACCGCCGGGTCCCGCCGGGGCGCGTCACACCCTGCCGGCTTCCAGTGAGCTCAGAGCGCACGGCCGCCCTCGGCTGTACCGTCTGCTGTTCCAGGAAGGCACCAAAGCCGTGACGCCCCGAGGAGCAAAGCCGGCTGTCTGCCCGACACATTTCGGCGCTCATCGCTCATTTCACGGTGATAATGAGATGGCGCGGCGACAGCGGCGGTACTGAGATCATAATGAGTCGACCTGCTTGAAAACGTAAGACTTAATGATAAAACTCGCTTGATACGCATCTTCGCTAAATCCATAAAACAGCCATTGGAAAATCCTCATAGCGTAGATATTAACATCTAAAAACGCTGTAGTCTAAAAATCTACAGCTTCACGGAAATGTCTTTAATCCAACGCAAGCCCTCCGCCTCGCGTATTTTTAAGAGCTGCAACAGTTTAAATGCATTGACGCTGTCATTCGATACCGTAAGGCCAAGGCAACCAGCGACGCATTTAGCGAGGGTTCTAAGAACCGATCGAACTGGCCGATCGGCACCCGGAAAAGACGACACTGGTCGACGCTTTTGGCGCATTTGCGCACGCCTGGGCACTCTGCACCTGACGTCGAGTCGGCGTACCGGCATGATATTGTCAGGTTCTTCAATATAAACTTTGATGGGTGGATTACATTAAACAGTAATGGACTCAAATCACATAATCGCATATTACGATTACATTTGAACGATGGCAAATCCCTTCATTCGTCAGGGTCAAGCAACAAGTCGGATGAAGTCGATCAAATATAAAGCTGGCTAGAATTTAACCACAAGTGTACCTCAAGTGACGATGGCTATTATTGAACATTATTACCATCGCTCACAAATATTAATTTCAATTAAACTATCCACAAATATGATTTCATTCCTCATTACCTACGAGGGCTAAGTCGGATTTGTGTCTTTGACGGCTCGGTGCTAAGATGTTTGGGGAGTTCGGACCCATTTCAGCGACGTTAGTTTCGTAAACAAGCTCTCAGACAGCGTTCTGACAGCCGCGTTCCCTGAGCGCATTCAGTTGGAATCCCGGTTGCTGAGGAGTTAAATGCTGATGTTAAACCGCGTCCACCGGTCGGCTCGCTATAAGGAACATTGTTGCTACCCGGCGTAGACGAAAAATTTTGGCGTGTAATGATTCACACAAACATTTAAGCGACAAGGCATGTGTCACAGACATCTCCACACTTATTTTAAAAATGTAGTCGCTGGTATGTGGGAATTACTAGACGTTCCAGGCCTGCCTTTGGGATCAACCGATGAAGACGCCATCAATAATGGTCGCGGCGCCCGTGGGTTTGTCCATAGTGCTTAACGAGGCTGGCCAGCGGTTGTGGACACCCGTGTTTGTGGGTTTGTCGGCCGTACTTCATGTAACTGTTGTGGCGGACAGGGCCGGCGCGCCGCCAGCTGGTAGCACGGCCTGCAACGGCCTAACACGATACCAGGCAATTAAGGACACGGACTGGGCCCAGGGAGAGGTAGAGAAATGCCACACTTATCATCGGCGCCAGAACAAAGCGGATGCTTATTTCATAGACGAGCCCAAATGCTTGCAAAAAAGGTCCGTGATATCCAACCATGGCTTTAGTGCGCATTGGTCGTTGCATCGACGAACTCCCATCGAATGCCCAGCCAAAAGATCAAACAGGTTAAGTCACTTGCAACAGTTGAAGTAAATGCTAGATTTAGTTATCATCTACCGGACTTTTAACGAACCGGTCACTACGACCCAAGATACCTATAAGAAACCTACGACCATCGTATTCAGACCAGCGCCGACAAAGCCACTGAATGTCGTTCTACCGGTAGCGGAGGCGTGTGGAGTGGTATCTCAAATCAGTGCCCTTTTCAGTGAGTCTTGCCAAACCAGAGCCCGTTCTCAGTGGGTCCGTCTGACCTTCCGGCACCTGCCCGCCTCCAGTGCCGCGGCCGACGTGTCCCAACAGCTGAGACAGAGTGGCCGCCGCTCCCAGACCAAAGCGGTCCCTCGGGCGGCGGTCAGCGCGGCCCGCTGGGACAGCCAGTGTCCTTCGGCGGCCTCCGCACCCGGCGAGACCTGAGGCTGAGTGAGCCAGACCCGAGACCGGCGCTCGACTCCGAGCGAGCCGTGGTTAATGCTGGCCACGCGGAGAATGGACGGACATTTACCAAACAAAGCGAGACCACAGTTATAAGTGGAGTCGTCAGGTAGATTGAGCACGACCTAATGCGTCGTTTGGTCGACGTCTACGCGGGCTAGCTGTCTCATTACCTTGAATAAAGTCATAAAGCCAACTCTAGTGACGATTAGGTCCATTAGGGAGCGCGGACACGTGAGAACTGCGGCCGAGTCTCAAACCACCGTGGCCGCACTCCGGTCGAGCCGCGTGACTGCTTCCACTGACGAGCGACGCGAGAAACGGACAGAAACCAACAGCAAACGGACCCCAACCTACACATCACCAGCGCTTGTCGAACCGACGCCGCGCCAGCGCGCTGGCGGTAGCCGCTGCAGCGGCTACAGCAAAACACAGAATGACATGACCTCGACCCAGCAGTCAGTGCTCAGCGCTGGGTGTCAGCCGCGCTCAGCGATGAACATCAGCTCCACTCGACGCTCAGCATCAGCTGCCGTCCACTGCCACCGGAGGAGTTCAGCGAGCGGGTGAGGGGACGGCAGCGGCAGCGGCGGCGGCGGCGGCGGCTGGTGCCTCTCTTGTCGCTATTGATCGCGCCGGGTCCGATTTCTGCCCGGCTGGGCTGCCGGCGCGGCGGCCCGGTCCCAACTGCCGGCGCGGTTCCCGACTAGCGCTGCCGCCGGGATGGTCGAGAGCGGGCCTGAAGAGTCACAGGGACCAGTGCTGTGCCGCGGATCGCAGCTGACCGGAGCGGGCACAGGATGGGGAACGGAGGGTAACAACGGA